AGATGTTAAAAACAAGAAGTACTGGAGTAGTTCTGAAGCACCATTTTAAAGGGTACAAAAGCAGTATCTCAAGAAGGATTCCTACATCCCTTGCAAAATCTTTGCTACACAATCCAAGATGAAATCCCAGTTTGGTTTGGCATTTATTCCTGGATACCAGTCAGACAGAAGTATGTCTAGAGGACAGCTATTCTGAAACCAAAGCACGGTCTTTCTGCCAAGCTTAGAATAAATGTAGCTTTTCATCATGCAATGGTAGAAATATTAGGTCACATTTAAGGTCTCAAATCTCCCCGTGTCACAATCACCATAACACTTACCTGGCAGAAAATTAAATTTCCTATTTGTTTTTTTTTCCATCCTTACTTTCCTGGAGTAACAATTCCAGAATTCTGGAACAGCATGATCACGAACATTGAAGCCAAGCTTTCCACTTCAGGTTTTGGAGCTGTACCCTGACCACAGGGCTCAAAATTATTTATATGAATAATATTTTACTGCCATCTTTCAAATTAGAAACACAGAATGTAGGGTTTTTAGAAGGAACACATTCATATTTGTTGATCATCTTATAGGCGAGCAAATTAAAGTTGGAAAATGAGAAGGAGAGCGTGCCAGAGTTAGAGAGACATGAAACATGATAGAGACAAGAAGCTCTGCTATAATTAGTAAAAATATTCAGCCATTTCCAGCTCAGTCGCCAGCAAAAGCCACCTTCCCTACGGGAGCTCAGCCCCTTTCAGATGGTAATGAAACAAGGCTCTCTGGGGAACAAGGCATGGGACAAGGTGGTGTGAGGAGAGCAGCTGTTTCCTCCCACAGATGGCAAGGGGCTAGCTGGATCAGAAAGTGGGACAGACTCCTTTTATCACTTACTCATCTCTCACTTCAAACCTCAAAAGCAACAGCTCTGGTCAATGAAAGAAACCATCTTATCTATCGCTCTCAAGAACATATAGTGATAGACATATTCAGTCACTCGGAAACCAGTCTTCTTCTCAACAGTATATTTAATTTTACATAGGGTCTTCCTTAATTTTAACAATTTCACTTCTCCTTGCTACATGGCACTAATATTTATGTGCCATTAATATGAAGATCATTAATTGTATGTAATCTTGAAAGAACCTATCTTAACTTATTATTACCCATGTAATGTTACTTTTCTCCTCTTTTTCATTTACAGTGTGGAATACATGTGCAATATTTAAGAGTGACAGAACAGCTGCATTCCTGGTAAGTGTCGGTCTGCAATGTGTAGATATGACCTTTTTTCAAACTGTTAGTCTTACCACACACATATATAATAACTGTTGCAGAACAAATTAATAGAGAAAAGAACTCCACAGAGCACTCTTCCACTTTCTAGCTCTGTACATGTTGCTACCTTTGCGCTGGAACCTTTTAATATAAAGGCAATTCTGTGCATTTAGAAAATCTTTTTTAACATCTGCAAAACCCAGAAAGCTTATATTGCCCACATCCTATTCTAGGTAGGAAGTTACATGAGAAGCAAAACAAAGATAAGGTTTGTATTCCTGACAAAGGCATAATCTTTCTCTTTTGAAAGTGCCCAAAATAAAATGTCGGTCTTAAGTGTTAAGTTATATCACTTATTAAATACCCAGTCAGATCCTGGGGCGTACAGAACACATCTATGAAGAAGTAATCCATAAATAGTGTACCTGTTGACTGATTAGGGCACTTTTAAATATACAAAAGGGAAAGATGCAAGCATAGAACTTCCAGAAGTTCTGGAATGGCCAAACACATCACTCTGTAAGTGGTGAAAGACATCACTTACGAAGAAAGCAAGACATCCCTGCCTAGCAAGAAATGAACTACCATCTTTTCATCCACGTCACTGGTAAGCTGCAGCAACAACTTAAAATGAGCAAATCAAATACTGAGGTCCTCCTCCCCTTACAACATTCCAGCAGGGCAACACACTGCTGCTGCAACAGCCTTCCTGCAATTTGAGAATATGACAGTTATTCCACAGATGCCCTACTTGCCAGAATTGAGCGCAATTGGACATTTTTGGGATGAGAGCAGATAATATGGCATCTAGGGCTCAGAGACCAGAATACAGGCAAACCCCTGACCAGGTGCAAAGAGAAGACCGTATCCACCATCTAGTGTTCTGTACAGACCCCATGTTGAACACAAATGTGAAACTAAAACCAGTTTTACCCATGTATTTTATCCTCAGTATAATAATATTAGTAACATTATTCTTATCTCAATTCAGATCTATTAAGTAATGATTATAGTTCATTTCCTTTTATATTTCAATGTCATTAGTGCCCTAAAATAGATGCATTTAAAAGCACTATTTATTTGCAGGTACATGTATTCCCTGCTCTTATAAATTCCAATTTGAAACCTGACTATTCACTAGCATCATTTTTTTAGACAGATATGTAGGAATTGTCCAAAATCTTTGGGTAATGATTCTGAAACAAGGATATAAGCAATATAATGCTTTTAGAAAATCAACAACTGGTTAATAATTCAGCAGACAAAGATTTGTCTGCAAAAGCTAGGTTGTACTCTGCACAAAGAGCCTCAATCAGAAGAATTAACTATAGATTAAGCAGAAGAACATTCACAAAGATAAGATGCAATTTAAGAGAGAGAATGGCGGTTTAATGGAATAAATTAACAAGTCACTTTGTGGGTGGCTATTCATTATGATGCCATCTTCTGATTACAGGCTTGGAGAACTGCCATACAATCTCACTTGATTTAAAACATTACATTTTGAACATAAGTGCATACATTGTGAAAGAAAAAGCTGGGAGAAAGAAAAAAAATATATAAACCCAATGATCCAGCAACAAAGGCTATATAGCTATATAGTTAATAGGATATAGTATTGGAACAAGGTTACTTAGAATAATTGTAATTGATTAGGTATACCTGTATAAATTTAACAATCAACTATAAAAAGTAGTTGTTCGATCATTTATGTCACTCTTGATAAAGACTTGAAATCCATTTTCAAATTAAATGAAAATGAAATCCTTTTCTTTGGCTCGTTTGCTTCAAAAGTTCAAAAAAAGAAGAGACAAAATGACCAATAAAAAACTGTTTTTGATTTTAAATTCATCACAATACCTTGATGCTTCATTATGTTATATGAAAAGCAAAAGCACATTTTAAGGAATTTGCTTAACTATTGGGCTCAGATTTAAAAAAAAAGGAGAAGCCCTAATGATGTTAGTTTTGTCAGGCAGTAGAATTAAGTTCTACGTTTCTAACAGCTTTAGAAGTAAGTTTGCAAACTGTATAACACACTCCAAAAAATTATTCCATCCTTGGAAAGTAATTACTTAATTAAAATACATGGGAAAATGAATAATAAAATAGTTAACACCTTAAAATCCTTCATAAATTGGACGTCGAGCAGGTTTCCTGTTAAACAGGGCTTACATTAGACAGTTGCAAAAACTTTGTCCAAGTTAAAGCAAGTGTGAGAGCAAAAACAGCTGCCTTGTTATTTTTTACTTGAATTCAGTGATTGATTGCATCCCCACATCCTGTTCTCTGCTTCCCTTCTTATGTTCTTTAGCTTTTCACTTCCTGTGTAACCTGACACTGACGGGCAGCAGATGGGCCCTCCTGGCACACAGTCTGTTAAGAAGGAGTGCTCCAGTTTCAAGGTCAAGGGTCAATAAATCATGTTAGACACTGCCTTTTCTTGCACTTGCATGTTGATGCAAAGAGATCCTAACATGTGCCTGTTTTAGAATTCAGGTGCCACATTTCCAGAACCAAACCCTGATGTAAAGTCACTTAACAGGGCACGAGGCCACCATGAGCAACCAGTCCATGTATGCCTTTATGCACCATAGCACAGGGTCTACCAGCATCTGAAATTATGCACGGGGGGGGGGTATCTATCAGCTCATGACGGAAATAGTTCTTCCAGATTAGCCCTTAAATACTCAATTGGGTTCAGATCTGGTGAGCGTGTGTTTTAACATGAACATCCTAGGCAGCAAGAAAAAAAAAATACTTAACCTATTTCAAGCACAGGTATACCCCATGTACTGAATCTTACTTTTGCAATACCTGGGTATGAGTAATATAAGAAATATGTTGAAAACCACAATGAATGGTTAAATTTATTGTGAGTAATACAACTAAATAAACACAGGCAGCACACTGAAACTCGGGAAATATGGAGTGCTAAAATTCCTTTTTGGGAAACGTGTCTGCTTCCTCATTCTGCTCCAGAATACAGCTGTAATGTTTTTGTTCAAATTACCTTAATCAAAGCAATGTGCTGTACAGGAAGAATAATACATCATGGACTGTTTTGGATAATATATTGCACCAAAGAATATTAACCCTAAAGACTTTCAGTTTCTGACAAGGTATAAAACGAACAGGTTTTTCATTCAAACCACTGAAACAGCATTCTAAAATAAAAATAAGCAAATCACTCACATCCGCTAGATTAAAATTAGTAATAGTGAAAGCAATCACTAAGTAGCCTTAGTATTAGTGAAAAAACTTCTATCCATAGCTGTATCAGAATCATCAGAATTCATAGACTCATCTACAGTACTACAAATTCTAGATAAATCCTGTACATTTTAATAAAAAGAAACCTGAAATGCAATCATCCATCTACAGTTATCCTTCCACAGGAAAAAAACGCCTATTTACTTATTAAGTAAAAAAATGCTACTGATCATCTTTACTTTTGTTAGATTTTTTTTTCCCAGGCATCCCTTCCTTTACAGAACAAATTAATCAGATTTCAACCTATGAAAGAAACTCAAAAGTACAGGTTTCACTTCAGCTTTTCTTACCTGAAAAGACGGCAAATATCCCTGTGAGTGCGAGTTGCGAGTGTGGGGTGTAGGTTGTAAAATATGTTTCTTTCACAGTTCCTTTTAGTACTGACAGCTAGAACAAAAGTAGGCTACAGCCGTGGGAGTGAGAAACCAGACAAAGTGAGTAATGCTGTGCAAAGTGTTTCTTCTTACCTGATGCCAGCCCTTGGGAGACAAAGGCAAGAAGCAGCAGCAGAGCTAGTGGGATTCCGTCATTAACAGGAGGGAGAGGGATGAGGGCTCTTGTCTTAGGTGCTACCATTCCATTGCACATCTTTTTCTGACTGCAAAGCAGGAACCTTTCAGGCTAAACCTGTGAAGAATGAGACACACTTAAGTCTACACACAGAAACCAGAAGCAAAACGTCTACAATGGAAATAGCACATCTAACATCTCCCACTACCTCCTTAGATCACTTTCACTTAAGCTATTAAAATAGCTACATGGGTCAAATGGTCTTCCATCTGTAACAATTAATACATTAAAAAAAACACCTTCAGAAAACATAAGGTACAAAGCTATCCAGGAAATGTAAATGCATGCAATATGACTTCAAAAACAATCACATACAATCTCAACAATTTCAAGTTGTTTTTTTTTAATCCTTAGTGTGTCTAGGTTCAACTGTATACATATTTATATATTTTGGTGCAACATCAATTAAACAACAAAACAAGGTCACAGAAAGTAATTAGAAATCTTAACGCAAGATAGAATCTCCTAAATAGTTGCAGTATGTGCATATACAGTACTATGTGTATGTATTGGGTGGCAGCATAAATAAAAGGTTCTAAAATTACATTCTTAAATCTGAAGTTTCAGAGACGCATACAAACCAGGTGAAACAGCACGAGATCTACTCCAAGCATGACTCTTGACAAAAGGTTTGCTCTATGATACTCTCCATTAACCTACTGTATACTACTTAATATAGAATATTAACAAATACCTATTTTTCTAGCATGCTTTATAGCAATTATACTTTTTATTTGCAATACAAGTTGTTTATTAAACTTACGTGGCTTTTTGCTATTTTAAAAACGTTTGGTAACTTAGATGCCTCCCACAATCGCCTGAAAAACTACATTTTAAGATTGCCATTTATTAACCTTGCAATGGTAGGAGCATGGTCAAAATAAAAAAAAGCCATCTCACCATGACAATGAGTTTATGTTAAAATATTTTCTATATTTATATTTGTATATTTTAAAATTAAAAGGAGAATAACACAGAAAATGAGCCGCTAAGACCCAAGCTATTCCATTGGATAAAGAGAACAATCATACTGGAAAAAAACAATAATTTAAGGAAGCTCAACTGAGCATAATTCAATTTTCTTATTTATTAATTGCATGAAAGCTGAATCACTTTTGTACCAGATGCCTTAGTATTTAGCAATGCAAGTACAACAAAATTCCAAGAGGGGGAAAAAAATATCTGAATCATAGAAAGGAAACCAGCGACCATAAACAGACAATTTATCAGCCCTTGCAAGAACACATGAAATCACACTAAATACTTACCATGTTTCTTTGTACATTTTGGAACAAAGGCCAATCAAAGAAGTATTTATTGGCCAGACTAAGGTTTAGAGGAAATGAGACAACAGTTTGCCCTTTTTGTTCCACAACAGGAAAATGTTTGCAAAAAAAACCCATTCTTTGGCAACACTGTTAAATTATACCCCCACCCTCTGCTCCCCAGAGTCAACTGCTGTTTTCTAACTTCAGCCATAGCATTCTTAAATACAGTAAGTCTGCCTGTGTACCATTTGCAGTTTCTTTGGTGTAGCTAATATGGCAAACTTCTACAATGTGCTGGAAAACCATAAAAAAATGTATGTACTTAAGTGCCAGCTAATGATTCAAAATAACCTTTTTTTTTTACAATCTGTTCCATTAAAATTATTTGAATATTGACCACCTGTAGATGTATATAACCCTGTAGAAAAAGGATATAATGAAATCAACATCATATTGCACTCCACTTCTTAATATATACTGTATACAAACATTGTGACTTTTTCATGTTGCTTAGTTAATCCGTATTAACATTGTCTTATCACAACAGAATATTTAGTACTCCTTTTAATCAGCTACATTTGTCTGACTTGAGGACTTTCAGTCCACAAATACACTATAACGCTTCCTCGACTATATCACGCAACACCTTTAAAATATGAAAAAAGCCTCCGTTGGGTAGGAGATAGTAAACAGTTCAACACGGTGTGCCGTGTGTGGTAACATTGGACTTGCCAAGTTATCTATAGTGTAGCAGGAGAATGGCAGTGGAAGCAGGTACTGTTGTGTTTTATACTTTATACACCTGATATTTCATAATAACTTGAGGTGCTGTGAAACTCGTAAAAAGCCCAACGTAGGTTGATTATGCCATTATGATTGTGTGTAAAAAAAGCTGTGAGAAAATGAATAATTTCCTTGAACGTAAAAAAAGCTTTTCATCCCAAAGCAGTCTACTGTATATATACATAAGAGTGACTCATTCTATCCAATACTGAAGTGCAGCACCCACCCAGGCAATACAGAGCAGAAAAGGAAGAACATTTTTTTAAGAAGTCAGATTATAAAAACCCAGTGTGAAACTTTAGCTAAGAAGCTAGGGTTAACATTCCTACACTAAGAAGTTCTACAACATATTTAATGACAAAATACTCAAGCCCTCAGTAAGTGCAGCATCTAAAGCACTGTGGCTACTGTGCTACAATGTCTCCAGTCGTTACTCCAGGATATTAGCTGGGAAATTCCAAGTAACACCACTTATAGCAGTAATCTAGTTTGCCTTGAAGCACTGACCAGGGTCACTCTTGCTTAGCTTTCGAGATCAGGCAAGAAGGTGATAAATGGGACAAAAACAGAGATTCTCCAAGACAAGACTTTCAGACCTAAGTTACTATATCATCCAATATCGAGAGTAGTGCAATCATTTTTTAAGAATTCCAAGGACCATCATAGTTGCTTTGTAAAAGAGCCAACAATGGAAAAAAAACAATTTTATGAAGCAAAGGAATATTTATAGGATAACCATCAATTCATAGTCCAGGCTTAGTCTGTATTGAACGGATAGTCAGTGTGTACTAATGATAAGATGTAAAAACAATGCTGAGCTAAAGAAATCAAAGTAGAGGCATAGCTACCGGGCAGAATTCCTTATTAGAAGTAAGTGAACAGAATCATAAGTGTTTTTGCATTAACCAGATTAGTTAATCAAATAAACACCTTCATTATGGGGGTTTAAAAAAAAATACAAGAAAGTGGTATGCTGGTCTAGACTAATTTCTGTTTAGGCTATACATACATGCTTATAAATTTCTTAATAAAAGAGTTTAGACTAGCAGAAAAGTCTCAACATGTGTTTAAGTGATTAACGCCCTTGGTCAACTAAGAAGTCTTTGTTAGGAACCGTAAGGATTATAACAGCAAAGATCACTACATTTCTCAACTACCTCTGTGTAATTTAACAGGACACTGTAATATAACTAAATAATACAACATCATATCTTCATTCAATTAAAACAAAGCCTAGTGTCGGGCCACGTGGAAATAACAATACACCTATAACTCTGTCAGAAGATTAAACCCAAGGAAGTCTAAAATGCTGATCTTCAAAACAAATGTCCCCATGAGGGCCAAGGTTTCCCTAAGAATATGTTGACAGAGATAGTTCTTCAAACCAATATGAGGATCAGAAGCCCAGCCTTAATATTTTCTTAGATAAGTGCTTGCATTTCTATGGATTTCAGAATTAAAGAATCCCACTCAAAGAAACTTCTAATCAACTGTTTGGCCATCTGGGAGTCCTTTGATACAGAGTGTAGTATTTGTTTTGTCAGTGTGTGAAACTCTTCACAGACAATTTGTTCCACAGGAGAAACAGTTCCACACCCAGCTCTGGAATGACACAAAGGCAGCTGCCACTTCCTTGTTTTGGTTCCAGGGAATACATCACATGACCCAATAGGTTTCTGCTTAGATTAACTCTTGCCTGACTCTAGCTTCTGCCCTCAAAAGGCCAATATAGCCCCCAAAACACCAAGGCTACAAGGCAACAAGAGCTTTCAAATGGGGCAAAGTTAAAAAAAAAACATTTTGAATTACAATAAATTTACACTGAAGCTAAAATGTGTACCAGTCCCAGATTGTCCAAGCAGCATTTGGCATTACAGAACTCAAAGGGAATGAGGAATGAGAGTCAGTGGCTACAAACAGAAAGAATCCGTTTAGCAGCTAACAGATGCTAAGAGATTGCCATCTGAGAGGGCTGAGCTAATGCTTCAGGCTTATGTGGAGCCAATTCTGCCCTGTGGCATTATGGAATAAGAGGGCAGTGAAACAGTGAAGAAAGCCCCTTTGTTGCAGTGTATTATATCACATTAACTCTGCAGGGTTGCCTTCGTTGTTTTACCCTCCAGACAAGTAACCTGAGGTGCTGTCCTAAAGTCTCAAAGTAGCCAAAAGCTTTTCAGAACCTCAAACTTTGGAGGCACTCTGCCTTTAATCCCCTAAACTACACCTGGTGGCTAGGATTGCATCTGATTTTGCTCATTTCAAAAATTCTCAATTATGCCTTAAAATAGGACAATCAATTAAACAAAAAGCAATGAAAAAAAATGCAACCATACCCAACTACAGCAATATTAAACTGCAGTTTAAAAACCCCAAAGGAGCTTTTAGACAAATTTGGAATTTTAGTAGTACAATAGCTCTAAGGCTTTCATGCTGGACATTAAAGCCATCTTCATCATATATATTGAATCCGTACAATAAATATGACAATATATTGAATCTAAACTTGAATGAGTTATCCATCAAAGTCGAAACTATACCTGTCTCAGTGCTCGTGGTCATCATCCATTATGTCACAAGGGGTCAAAGGGTGTTTTGAGTCTGAAGTTGAAAGGCCAAAGGTTGTGTCCAAGCTGCATTGAACAGACACCCAAAGACTGTCCTTATTTAGGACTTTGAAGGCTTTTCAACCATTGTCTCTGTGATGCCCAATATACCACAGGCCTTGTAAAAGTAATCTTTAACCATTAATCTTATCAGCTTCTTCCGAGCAATCATCTCAGCACCAGTTTAACTAAATGTACCATTGTCTCCAATAGTAGTACAATGTCTGCTGTCACTGTAGAGTTCATAATATGCTAGGGTAGCTTTAGCTCACTTCTCAAGTCTATGGTCATTTGCAGTTGAAAAGAGGCCAATAGCTGGCCTTAATGCATGACAAGATGGTTCTTCAGCTCTAACAAAGTGGTAGTATTTAGATCCTGATACGCAAACCACAACTGATCGCTTTGAATAAAACTGTCTGCAGCAGTCTAGAGAACATGATCATAATGCAAGGAATGGTTGACCTTTCCCCAGCACCTTTGTATAGCAGGTAAGCATATACTGTCTGTACTAATAGTTCTGGAATTTTATAGAAGTTGATTTCGAACTGCACATCATCACGGTACGGTATTTGGATAGTAATAATACAAGAAAGGTTACAAATGATAGGAGGCTATAGAAAACAATTTACCCCTACATCCTTCAGGGTACCCAGATAGAGGTGAGGGCAATAATCACTTGGCCTCCAGAACAGGCACTCTAGTCTTCAGCACATAGTAAATGGGTATATCATTTTGCCAGCCTTCTGGGACACAGGGCTAACACAGCATAATATTTAATGCAGCACAAGCTCATAATGCATGAAAGTATCAAGCCCTTGGAAATCCACCCTAGTCCGATATAGGAACAGCATGGAATTGAACTGGTTTACTCCTTCCTATCTGGCACATAGTGCATTTAATACACTAGATTTTAATGGATGGACCTTCTGGAAGCCAAAGTCTCACTGAATATTTTGAAAAGGATTTTGGTGCATTTGACTTTCCAGCAAAAGCACATTACAGGAGATCATTAAAAACTGAAATTCTGTTCAACAATCTGCGTTTCTGGCATTACGGTGTAGGGAACAATATGGAAAGGATGTTTCACTCAGAGGATTCTTTTTCCAACAAAATCAAATTGCAACATGAACCATAAAACACACAAATCTCCATCATATTACTTAAAAAACATTAATTGTAAATCAACTAGAATGAGATGAGCATACAACTATATACTTTCATTTTGTGCCTTAGTAAATTTCAATCACGATATACATAATTCAGTTAAAATATCCCACTCTGCACTGTATATTTGGCAAGTGATATTTCTTTATTTTTTTAAGCCGGATACATTTATTTTTGTAAACCGGATTCTACATAGGCAGTTAAAACGCTCACAAGCATTTCAGACCAAATTTAAACTACACTTACGTTCCAAAAGATTGTAGCTACAGCCGATCAATGGAAGTACTACAAGACAAAACTACATAGCATACTGCAACAGATGCTCGATTTCAGCCTGTGTTCATCTACTGTGGGTTGGTAGATAAGTTATATTAATACACATCAGCCTGAACAGGAAACAAACGCTTGAAAATGTTCAGTGAGCGAAAATAGAGAAAAATATAAAGGTGAACATCATCAGCAATAATACTATTGCGAATTTGTATAGAAAAATAAAGTAAAAAAATGTATTGTGTAATTTCTTAAAGGGGCTGAACAGTCTGTTTTAACACTGACAGCCTGACTATAAATACGAGTCCCGAGGTGGTAGGACAGCACAACCACTTACTGTTCAAAAGCAATGATTTACAAACTGCAGCATAAAACCACCAGCATTTAACTTTTCACAAGTATAGCTGGCTTTGAACTAAAGAGCAAGAGTACTATTAAGCTCTAAGCGATTTAAAAGCAGTAATCAGTTGCGGCACACGAGCAGGAGATGCTACAAAAAGACGCGTGAGGATGGACTGTCAAGACACAAAAACCTGGGTACTAAATTATACACATCAGCATAAAACAGAGGTATAGAGGATATAGTGCAAGGGGGAAAATACTAATTCCAATACTATTCAAAACATGAAAAAGCAACTGTGGATGGGTAATACGGAGATCACTTCACTTAATGCGGTTAAAGATACCACATCCTCGTTTTCATGTAACCAAAGACCGACATGTTAGATTTCTGATATACGTCTTTCTTGTCACATACTCCGACTCCAGTCTGATGGTAGGGTATAATATTCACTCCTCACGGGCGCCGAGACAGACAGGCCTGAAACAGGAACAACAACAAATAGCTCGACTAGCGAGACACCGAAAAAAGAAAAAGGCTTTTTATTCACTTACCAACACACCGCAAAGCCTCAGGGCCACCCCTCTTCTCACTCACCGCCGGGACATATACCCCGAATGTATGAGAAAGAGAGAATTACCCTTTCGCCCCGTTTTCAAGGTAACAAACCCGGAATAAGTCGTTATCTTTCTCCTCCGCCTCCGTAAGTGGAATCATAGGCAAAATGCAATAGCGGAAATGGACACCCTGCATTTATCTAACCACAGCAGCTGCCTCGCTCTCGCCCAGTCTCCATGGGAACTGACAAGGGCCTGCAGGCAAAGAGGTTGGAGGCTGGGGGAGTGCGCGCGCAACGTCAGGTCTCTTAGCAACACTTGACAGATCAGCTGGTAGCCCAGATGCTGTCGTCACAGCATTGCGCTATTGTGCTCTGTATGCGTCTGACAGGAGAGGGTTGTTGGATTTTATTCGAACACCACACCAGTACCACATTTATATGGGTATATGAGTACCATAGTAGCATTTCCCATTCCTGAAGACTGTGAAACCCGATGATTAACGACAATGACAGTGAGATAGCCCCGGGAGACAGGGAATACCTACAAGTTAGCCAGTAGGGGCGGTCTTACAATAAACGTTACCGCAGAGTCCAAGTCACTTTGTACTAATGTATCTTAAACTATTTTAGGCGTGATAATTATCTTTTAAACATATAAACAGAGCTTTTTGAGCTCTGACGCAGATTCGTACTTTGATTAAATTTAACATGAAACGAATTAAATTCGGGACAGCACAGTGGCGCAGTGGTTAACATTGCAATCTGCGTGGAGTTTGTATGTTCTCCCTGTGATATCGTGGATTTTCTCCGAGTGACCCAATTTCCTCCCACAGTCCAAAAACAATGGCAGGTTAGTGGACTTTGGTGTGAGGGTGTGCATGTCTGTGTTTGTGTGGCTTCCATGCAATGGACTGGTGTCCGTCCAAGGTAGAAAAGGTTAGAGAGTGGGTGGATGGTATTACATTTGCATTGCCTGTACTTTGCTTTTTCTGTCTATGATTTATCCCTGTATGATAATAACTTCTGTAGCCTTACGCCAGTTCCATTAGCCTTATAATATATCATTATAATTTTGAGGGTGGGGTTAAAAACATCAACAAACCGGATTGCTTCAAGGGGAAACAAAAGAATGCCACTTCCCCAATCTAAAAAAAACAGGTTAATTTTTGTAAAACATTTAATTGAAACAGGCCAGTATATTACTAGCTTAATTTGAGGAAAAACTCAATTAATTACTTAATTGATATGCTCTTTCTTTAGCGATGTAATAGAAATTTGTCTTAGTTCGTCGTGGGGCTATTCTTAAGAATAAGGAAAAAACATTCAACCCTGTCAGTCAGAACTGCTTAAACTTCGTCTCGAACTTCATAATAACTGGATGGGAAACTTAACGAATTTTTAGTCTTATAATATCTCAACTCGAAGATTCATGTACAGGATTAAAAAGAAAGTAGTTTATATATACATGTGACCTCAATTACAACGTGCGTCTGTACGTAACAGTCTGAATTTTGCTTCGTCCGCAGCAACGTCAACGTCAACATGTAATCTGAGAAATGTTCTGTGTAGTGTTCCGAGGAGTGTGAGCTCGCCAGACACGATTAGATTAAAATGGATAGTCTTCAGTATAATAGGTTACAACCAGTAATATTTTTAATCTAATATGATTAAAAATGTCAACGCCGTTATTTTTTAGGGAATTTATGTATTTCCGCAAAACATTTACAAAGTGCGTTGGCTCTAGAGAAGAGCCTGTACGAAAAATCCAAAGGCCAAACGACACCTGTCGATCCGACACCGGTACTGCGTAGAGGCCTGATTCAAATACTGTAAGAAATATAATTCGAATTATAGTTGTGGAGAATATAGATTTACTACTATTACTGAGAAATAGTTTAAGGCACAGGACATTGCTTTCTCAAGGGGAAAGTTCAAACTTGCATTCAGGACTGCTTGGGGAGGACATGCACGTACTCTATAAGAAAATCAGTATCAATAATCAAGTATTGATTTGGATCCCCTTTCTAGTAAAAGTAATGACACTGCCACACCAATCTGACCTTAAGGGTCATTGAACATAAGTACTGCCTACTAAGGATTCATATCATATTATCTATATCAATAAATGAATTGAAGACAGTAATGTATAATAGAATAATTCAAGTGGGTAGCTGCCTCAGCATGCGTACGCTGCAAAGGAACAAGTAATAGGTTAATTCCATTCTGAAAACAGTTAGAATAATAATTGCTTACACATAAATAGCACTTTTCTGGACACTCACCTCAAAGCACTTTACAGGTAATGGGGACTCCCCTCCACCCCCACCGATGTGAAGCACCTACCTGGATGATGCAACGGCTGCCATAGTGCGCCAGAACCCTCACCAAACACCAGCTATCAGTGGAGAGGAGAAAAGAGTGATGAAGCCAATTCGTAGAGAGTGATTATTAGGAGGTCATTATTGGTAAAGGCCAATGGGAAATTTTGGCCATGACACTGGGGTAACACCACTACTCTTTTCAAGAAACACCCTGGGATTTTTAATGGACCTCAGTTTTACATCTCATCCGAAGGACAGCGCCTGTTTACAATATAGTGTCCCCGTCACTTTACTGGGGCATTAGGATCCACACAGACCACAGGGTGAGCACCCCCTGCTGGCCTCACTAATACCTCTTTCAGGTAGCAATCTTAGTTTTTCCCAGGAGGTCTCCCATCCAGGTACTGACCAGGCTCACACCTGCTGAGCTTCAGGGAGTTGTCAGTTGTGAGTTGCAGCAGGGTGATATGGCTGCTGGAAAACAAATCACGCTGAGTAAATGATTAATGAGTAAAATACAAACTACACGTGTGTACAAAGTAAATAGGGAGTCTGGAAAAAACTCCTCAGCTCCTCAGAAACTTTTTGCTTGTTTTCAAAAAGTGGCTGGATGAGATATGTGGATTTCTGAGGTACTAATAATCATATATGTTAGATGGCTCAAATGGTCTCTGTTTTTTTTGTAACATTATTCTTTATACTTTATTCTTTATTCTTTATACATTATACTTTCAATAACCACTTATTCAATTCAGGGTCATGGTGGCCTTGAGCCTATTCCAGGAACATTGGGTGCAAGACAGGATACACCCTGATAGGATGCCAGTGCTTTGCAGGGTGTTCACAGGCACAAACATGCACACTCTCACCAGATCCAATTTTATAGAGACCAATTGGCCTAGCAGAGTGTCTATGGACTGTGGGAGAATGCCAGAGCATATGGGGGAAACCCACGCTACATAGAGAGAAGATGCTAACTCCATTCCAGGAACTGAACCTAGGGCCCCAGCGCTGGAAGACAGTACCGCACCACCATGCCTCCCAACATTGCTTATGTCATATGGACATAATGTATTGGCTCAAATAAAGTCTGACAAACGTGCATCTGAATTCTCATTTGGACCTTAATTTTGATATTTTTGCATGGCTCATTCTATCAGATCCCACTGTTATTTATCTCACTTTTATTGATTTTATTACTTGTGTGTGTTTAGGATGGTTTATGAAGGTGTTAGGTGGATTCTGTGTATTATCGGCTTTATGTTGTGTATTTGTATTTCATGTCTTTAATTGTATAAGCGCACCAAACCAAATTCCATGCAACGGGTTGTTTTGGCAATAAAGTGTTGAACTTGATCTTGATAATATATTGTTATATTATGTTAAATAATCCCAAAAGGCATTGCTGCCAATTATATCAACATAAACTAGCATTATCTAAAGAAATGTCACAATGCGTTCCTTCATTACTGTATTGTGAAGTGTGGGAGCATGTATTGGCTGCTGTTAGAGAGGGAGGGAGAGGTGGAGGGAGTGTGGGAGGGCAGAAGTATGAATTCCTGAGTGTTGCCACTCACGGAGCGAAGGTCACGAGAAGGACTGACAGAAGACTGAAGGAACTGAGAGTTCAGTGAGTTTTTTTTTTCGAGGTTTTTGTGAAGGTTCTCAGAGGGAGAGACTTTTTTTTTTGGAAATCTGAGAATCGTCTGAGAGAGTGTTTTGGAGACGTCTGTTGTTTGGGGGCTGGTAAGGCAGTGTAACTGCTCGGCCATGACAGAGAGGCAACTTCAGGAAGAAGTTGAGTCAGTAGCTCAAAGAAGAGCTTAGGCGTTTGTTTTAATTTATCATTTATTTGGTTGTGGTATTTTGAATTCCCTGCAGTGTAAAATTGTTTGTTGACCTGGACCCGCTTATTTTTTACAGATCATGTTATGACACAACCACAGGAAAGCAAAGACAAGGAAAACAGTGGAAGAGAAGACTACAGCCAGAGGACCTATATCAAATTATACATATCAATAAATGAATTAAAAGATATATAGGTTTAGACTTACTGCGGGTCCTGGGGGAGACTCCATGAATTTCTCTTCTACTTTACAGAAAAAAGGTAATAAGGTATTTTATTTGATTTGAACATTTTCTGTGCAGTAGTAATGTTTCTAAAGTCTGTAGTAATTACATGTTTTGCCAGTCCTGGTTTCGGCTTCTTATATTTTAGTCAAACATGGTTATTCCTTAGTGTTGTCTTGCTAAGGCAAATCTAATTTCTAAGAGGATCCATATATTTTTACGGATAATCAGATAAAATTATCATCACATACTCCTTTACAAATCCATTGGGTTGTAATATTAAAGGTTGTTTACCATTGACGTTGTTAATGGTACATGTTACATACCCATTGAATGTGCTGTTTTTTCTAGTTTTTCTGAATCTACTATGACTCTAGTCGGGAAGGAAGTCCAGTCTTGACTATGTTTTTAATTCCATTACTACCATTAGACATTCTTTGATTTTTTTGCAAGTGATTGTCTTAAACTGTTTAAGTGTTTAACTGTTTAATATAGAATGTCTTGTCTCAGCTATGTTTTAAGCAAGTAATGAGGATTCTTTGATTATTAGATGAAATAGCCAAGGGCAATCGAACATGCTCATCACGTTTCATAAGGTTTTGATTGTCAACTTTACTCATTCAATATTACAACTTACAAACACCTGTCATAATTTGAATTTTACATTGTTATCTTGCTAAGCAAAATTAGCAAGATAAAAGCAACTGTGGATGGGTAACTGCCATATACCGTGGTACGTTTTTCAGAGGTGTACCCAACCCTATAATATATATATACAAATATATAAGAATATATTTGACTGGGGGGTACACCTGTCAAATTGTAACACGGGTGTCCTAAGGCTCCTGTGGCCTCACGATCCTTCTGGCTTTTTGGCATTTAATCTAAAATTATATTATATAATATGGGAATACAGTATGTCAAATATCAATGTAAAAATTATGTTATAGTTAAACAACAGAATTTACCCTTAAAGGAGAATCTTAAAGAGTTCAATTTAAATTTTTAGGGTTTTGGAACAAATGTTGAAATCAACTAAACATAAACATCCGAATGCATGCTGAAATATGTCAAAGGAGCCTAACTCAAAATGAGAAAGTTACAAGGCACTACTGACAGCTGTCCTCAAGATCATCTGTGGGTGACAGGGCCTTCTCTAGCTGTACCCCAGATCTCAGGATTTGTATCCACAGTGATATCAGAGACACCTACCCTGAGTGCATATAAATGTAAACTCAAAACCTTTTTTTTCAGAAGGCTGTTATTTAGTGTCTGTCTCTGCTTTGTTTTCTCATTTCTGTAGCACTTCCAACTGCTTGTCTTTCTCATACTGTATGTATTAACTTTGTAATCTGTGGTCCTTATAACTGTTTTTACACCTACTGTATTGCTTTGAGATCCTACCTTAAAAGGTGCTATTATAAAATAAACCTTTTGTTATTGTTATAGAGAAAAATGATCAGATTTTCCCTGGTTCAGTTTGCTTGTTTTTAAGTAACACCTGCTCCTTTTCTAAAACTTTTTGCTCATGTGCATTTTTGTGTTTTTACATGTATTTAAATCTCTAACACTTTAACAGTCTAAATTTTCATTTGCCTTAATAAGACCAAATTATAGTTTCAGGCTTAAAAAGCTTAGGTTTTCTCTGTTGTTTCTTGTCCTACAGAGCTTCTTTAACTGTGAAGCTCCCAGCATTTTACATTACTCTATGCACAGTTTTAAACTGTTATTACTGATCACCGACTTATTGCACTTGACATGGCTTAATTCACCCTTTCCTGAACGTCTATGACAAGCAAAGCTAGTGCTGACTCTAAAGCGATCTTCTGAAATTTCACTGTGTAAATGATTAAGGACTTAGATTGCTCATGTAAACACAAAATAATTGCTCTCTGAAAATGCCTTTTCTTGTTCGTTTTGGAGACCTAGATCGAAACTGATTTGAGATGTCAAAAAACATTTATTTTCTATTTGTGTTTCTGCTCCAGAAAAATGGTGCATTCTCTACATTGCTTTGTTTCTCGATATTTTAACTTTATATTTAGGCAGAGATTTCAACTATTAATCTTAAACTAATAACTATCAGTAAATACTGATATTTTGCACAACGTTACCACAAAAATATATTTGTATTGTAGCTGGGATTCACTTTTTCCTGTACGTCTCTCCCTACTCTCACTTATTACGATTCGGACACGGAATGGTTAAAGATGGCAACAAGTCAAGCACGCAGAGAGAAGGCAGGGTTGTCTTCCCGCCTCCATTACTAAAAAGCCAAATAGGAGTGGCTTATGCGACATACAGAGTTGTGTAACTGACAGTTTGAGGTAGCCTATCGTGTAAATTTCGCTTTGTTGCTGATAGGTTTAGCCTTCGAAACTCAGCCCCAAAGTCATGTGACTGATTTTCCGCCCTGTTTCATTGGTTAAACGCAAGGATCAGAAGCACCGCCTGGTTAACTGAGATGTGTAGTTTTTAATTCAATTTGAATTTTAACTTTACGTACTGAGTTCGTATTTGGTCAGGGCTTTAAAAAGAGGGAGTGCCAAAAGTCTTCTGTGCCGTCGTCGTGGAAGAATGTTCACTTCGAACGCTTGCCCATCATACGAAAGAAGCTCGCAGGGAGTAGTCTTGTAGTTTCAGACTGACTTGCTGCTTGCCTAATTGTCTGAATACAAGTATGATTACAACAAAGAGCAGACCATTTAGCCAGTTTAGCCAATCTGGTAATTAGTAACACTCATCCTAGGATCTCATTCAGCTGTTTCCTGAAGGAAGCCAGGGTTTAATGACTTTTTTAATGAAATCTTCATTTTCTCACATGGCTTTGGTGAAACAAGTAATGATTCAGGCACACTAGTTTAGAAAATATTTCTTAACAGTAACAATACACACACTAAACAACACACAGCATAAGCACAGAACATACAAGTTACCACTATGTACAAATTTACAAATAAGACATTCCAGTGGCCTGACATCCTAATCGCCCAGAAAACTCCAGACTGTTACCATGTATTGAAATTCTTGAAAATGTATTGTCTTGAAAATGGCTACAAATCCCAAAAATTAGAGATGAGCTGCCTTCTAAACTAAACGGAATATAACCTGCAGTTAAATCTCTCTCTCTGCAAACCTGGATACCACCAGATGAATGGGATGACACTTCCATAGTCACCTATGGCTGCAACAATATCCTAACATTTTGTTTGCCTTTTTGTAGCTTCCTCACATTGTATAAAAGATGTTAAAAGTTTCAGCATAACCAACAGCGTCATCTTCACAAGCATCCTCTTCTAGCTTGGTTTCCTATTTTGTTTTTATAGTTTGTTTCTTCTACCTGCATACATTACCCCACACATGTCTATATTGAATTCCTGTCAAGGGTTTGCCCAGTTTTAAATTATATGTAAATCATTTTGAATGTTATTTGCTGCTTCATCAGTTTTTCCACTTTTGGCAGCATATGCAGATTTGACTAGTTTATAAAACTGGACCAGAATCTAGATCATTGATTTAAACTAGGAAGAGCAGTAAAAGGGTGCCGGATTTACTTGGTATGCCTCTAATTACATTGTCTCAATTTAATCTTTCACACTGTATCTGTACTATATTTTCTTTTCTATTTATCAATCTAAACACACACATCCCCTACCACCTGTATTTTGAGACTGTATTGCTTTATGTAGTACAGTACGTTATAGGAAGGTAAACCAGTTTTGGTTTGTTTTTAATTCTTCCTGTTACTTTAACCTATGTGGTCTTTTAGGACTTGTAAGTTCCACCAGTAGAAATCATCTATGAACTGTGAATCTGGGCTTCAAAGAGTAAGAAGAGGAAGATTATCAGTGAGCGACGACATTAGACTGCAGAGTTGAGGTGGAAATTGGCTAGGGATTGTCTCCGAAAGGATCAAGTGTGAAAAGTGTCCTACAGTACATGAGAATTTTTTATACAAAAATAACAATCCAGGGCTTTATAGGTGAAACAGTCAAAGTAACCTTTCACCGTCCGTTGCACCTAACCTGTCACAGTTTCCAGAAGCACAGCATTCCAAGAAAGAACTGAAACCAGAAGCTTGCTCTGGCTTCTGATTGCACTTCTAATTACAACATATTGTCATTAGATATATTTTAAATTGATGATGTTTGTATGTCCTAGATTAACCAAGACATTTTCTTTTGGTTTCAGTCCTCTTTTGTGCGACTTCCATGAGTTCCCAAGTCAGACTCCAGATTCTCCCCAGCCCTAAGTGCTTGTTTGATGAGCCGGTGACAGTGAAAGTGGAGGGACTTTCTGCCTACCAGGAGGTCCAGTTAAGAGCGAGACTCACTGATCAGAAAAATGTGATTTTTCAGTCTTCAGCCACATACAGGGCGGATGTGAGCGGAAAAATTGATTTATCCAGCTCTCCAGCTCTGGGTGGTAGCTTCTCTGGTGTTGAGCCCATGGGTCTGTTCTGGTCTCTGAAACCAGAAACTCCTCATAAGAAACTGGTGAAGAAGGAGATACTCACCCCATGTCTTGTTCACATTGAGTTGTACAGCTCTGGAAGACAGAGAGAGATGCTTGCCAAGGAGATCAATGAAAGGCACTTTATGGCTGAGGGGGTGCGCAGATTACCCATTAAACATGGAAGAATTCATGGAACCCTCTTTCTGCCACCTGGTAAGAACACATTTTTCTTGTATGAACAGAAAAAAGCAGAAGAAAGTGCTGAGGCCCGGGACTGTTTTTGTCATTTTCTAGACATCGTTTTTTCTACTTTTCTATATTGTTTCCCTAAAAAAAATGATTCCCTTCCAGAATTCTTTGACGTTACATACTGTAGCTATCTATAATAAAATAGGTTTAATTTTAATATTTTAAGAAATATTATGAACCTTTCCCAACCATAACAACTTAATTAGTCAAACCAGTTTCCCCAACCATGTTCCTCAACAACATAAATGAGTCTTTGAGCATTGGAATGATACCAATGGTCTTAGAAATGGCTTACCTAAACACCCTAAACACCCTAAACACTTTCATCCGATATCTAACTTGCTTTTTTTGCCAAGGTTTTAGAATGTGCTGTTGCCATACAATATAACAATCACCTCATTGAAAATCTCTTTGAACTCTGCCAGTATGGTTTCATACAATTATATAGCACAGAAACTGCCTTTGTTAATGTTAATAAAGATCTTCTGATGGCAGCTGATTCTGGTTCTCCGTCTACCCTACTTCTCCTAGCCCTTAGCTGCTTTTGAAACTGTTAATCATAACATTTTACTCTCCCATCTTGAGACTGTGTTCGGAGCTTCTAACAACACTCTTAAATGGTTCAACTCTCACTCACTCATCTCAGACACTTCATTTCTCTTGGGGGTGTAACGCAACGGGGGCTCAGGCGGGCGCCCTTGCCGCATTAGGTCGGCCCCTGCACCGTCCGGGGCTCGAACCCGGGACTTCCGCGTCTCTCTGCAGCGACCTAGCCCCGTGAGCCAAAGAGAGATCTCTCCACAGCCCAGTAGCTGTGGTCCTGCTATCACAGGGAAGGGCGGTGACGTCACCCGCTCTGGTACGCCGGCTCTTACACAGTGCCTGTCGGCCGTAAGCGTTACAGGGGTTTTAGTTCTGAAGTTGGGTTATTTAAATCTAGCGTTCCCCAAGGTTCAATACTGTGCCTACTACTATTCAGCATCTGCATGGCTCAAAATGTTCTTCACAAACTGCGATGACTGAGGTGTAACGAACAGTTCTTTCCGGATCCTATGCGGACGACACAGTCCGACGGAGTGGGGAAACACT